ATTTTTGATTTGGTGAACGGAATAAAGTTCCGTGACCGCCCCGAGCTCGACGAATCACGGCATGGTCGGTTTACCCCCTTGATAGGATGATGAACCATGTGCCCCCTATGTCACCATTCGTACTTGGGTATGAAAAGTCCTTGCCGTTCGCCCCAACGTCTGAGGGGGTACTTATGCCAACCGGCGTTCTTCCACCGATCCAACGCACGTCCACACCGGAAGTAGGTACTACGTCTACATTTCGACAGTGTTGCTTGAGACAGGTAGATCGGAATGACCTAGAGAAGTCCAGATACTATGCGACCCTCTCCTTGAATGCACACTTCGTCTTGCGCAAAGCCCGATTTCGTACTATAAACCCCCCAAAGAATGGGAAAAGACATTGAATAGGAACTAACCTGGTTTACGGCGCTATATAAACATTGTCAGTCAACCGAGGCCATGATCCGGTTATCGCGATAAGACTTACGAGTATGCTGCAAGCATGTCGATGTATTCCTTGCCCTCGGGGTCCCATACTCTGGGGGGTTTGATCTCGATCAGTCCGAATTCGAATATCGACAAGAAGTAGCGAAAATCACTCACAATGCGCCTTTTCCGGACTCGAAAACGACAGGTAACGGGTGATAACTATATACAACAAATGCACCACATGAGCACACAACTATGTAAGACCAGAAAGAAGGAGACGGAAAGTACGGATGACATCCAGTTGGTTAGATTCCCTCATTCCGGCGTTCGAAAGGTTTTAGTTCTGTTGCCAGGCAGGGCATCCCCTTAGTCTGCGACAATGACATCAAGGAAGCGAAGCTCGGTGACGGGGGCCCTGTATGCATGAATGATAACTTGAATACTCACTTGTGTGCGCCGTATTGGTGCTCAAGTTGAATAACATCGGCAGAAGAGACCTTGACTTCATTCTTCCGGCGTTGATCCTTCAAGGTTTGTCCGGAGGTTACTGAGGGTTCGCCATGGGTAGCAGTTGCAGCGGGAGCCATGTTTGGTAATAATAGGTGTGTGTAGTTTTGGTCGGTGGTGGGCTGCTTAAATGTCGTGGTGGTGGTATGAAGAAAAGCCCGAGGTCTCGCTATAAGGCGGATCTAGTGAGTCATTAGGCGCCCAATGTGACGATACATAGATCAAAAAAATTGCTTGAATTCCTCTCATTAGCTCTCATTTCTCAAATATGGCTGTCAAGGGAGCCATGAAGACCGGGGAATTTGTTCAAGAAAGACATGTGATGGATCACTGGGAGCTCAAGAGTATGGCTTTTACCAGCAGGCACGTCTCATGCACCTCCGAGATTGGAAACTTGAACACCACAAAGTCGAGCAACCCTGAGGTTGGACAAAGAGGCATCAGCTGCAGAGCACCTGCTCCGAATGATTATCACCGTGGAACTACGTTATAGTTCATATAATCTAAATCATGCTATACCTGACTAACGAATTTAAAGGTACTTCATATTAAATGGGATGTTTCTAATTGGACAAACCCCTTCGGCCGGTCGCATGTAGTGCAGGACCCTGGTCACTGCATCCGTGGTTTCTTTCCCCGCGGATGTTGATACATCCCCCCGCGTTCTGCATGCGTACCTAGCGGCAAAACCTAGAAGGAACGTCAAAGTCCTTCTATGAATAACTCCAGGCCTCGGCTGGTTGTCTTTCAATGTGGCCCAGAAGCGAACAGAAACACTTCCATGTGAGCCAAAGTGTAAAATAATGTACAAACCTCAGCGAGCTGGAGTTTGCCTCGGGAGCTAGAGAAATGGTCGGCCGACTGAGTAGGCGACCTCACAACAAGAGAATTGCAAAGAATGATTATAAATACATACTGGATATCATACAATGGAATAGACACGGTTGAGTTGCTCGCGGATTCAATAAAATAGTTGACTTAATCAAGCCATAAGTAGAACGTGATAGTACATAAGGTTACCGATTGCGACACTTGTTGGATATATCATCGCGTCGAATATCATGTTCAACTTTCCTTTGAAGAATATGTAAGTATCAGAACGGAGCTTGAGATAACGATGAGGCCCGGAATAAACTTACCTGAGGTCGTGATGAATACATATCGACAGCACAGTCAGCACGCAGTTATGCTCTGAAATAGAGCCCGCGGCACCCCCGAGAAAATAAATAAGGTGAGAAGAGAACTGAAAAAAAGCCGAAAGGCAAGGAGCGCAACAAAACCATTCACAAGCAAGGCCCCTAGGCACTCTGAACCGTCTAAAGGAGAAAGTCTTGAATTATAGATAGGTATAGAAGATGATATGAAATGAGTCATGAAATTCAAGAAAACCGAACACTAGTGGAGAAATATGTTATGAGATGTGTGAGAGCAGATGCGTGTAAATCCGGGCATTATGACGTCGAAAATCGTGAACGTTCGTCACCAAAGAAAACCCAGCCGTCCAAATAAAACACCATGAGACCGAAAATGAATTGAAAGCGACGCAGAACTACTGCAGCTCTTTTGGCCATTCACGTCTTGGTCTCCAGCGTCCGTCAGGACCGAATCGAGGGTTGACTGGGAAAGTCACTCCATCGCCTTCACTTTTCCCAAGTGGCACTGCGAAAACAAATGTCCCAGATCAGATTCACATCAGACGAATGTCTCTCCAATCGGAGAAAATAAAAGAGACATTGAGATAGGAAAAAGGTCACGTACGAATCCACTCCCATACATGCCGTCCCATGACATACTCCCAATTTCGTCTGTTGCTTCCAAGCCACCAGAGATGACCCTCCTTCTCGATTCGACCCCAATCGTTGTCCCATTTCTTCCTCATCTGACGCTTGGCACTGAAAAATGAGAATTATTGGAGAGATGATTGATCAGATATCGTCACGAGACGATTCAAAAATAAGGATAACTACCTGAATTGGTACCAGCTATATAAACGAGAGAGCTTGTCTTTCTCTCGCTCTTTCATCTTTGTGTGATTGAAGGTTTCGACGGTGGTGCAGTTCATGAGGATGAGTCGGAATTGGGCGCCGAGAAGGACTCCGGTGAAGAGCGTGAAAAGGCCAGCACTGTGAAGCTTTTAGTTTTGAGTGGACTACTCGCGCTTTCAAACACTTACAAGGCTATGATGGCGATTTGTTGACGGTCGATACTCCCGTTTCGATGAGACGACTTTACGTTTTGTGCAACAAGGGTGCCAAACGTCCATGCACAGAACAGGAGAGCCCATTGCAGGAAATGGACGAAGAACTGAAGGTATCCATTGTTCGCATCAAACGCATGTTTTAGGGACCAAAAATAAACATTACCTTTTGGTTGCGTGCTCCAACACATTGTCCGATCCCTAGAAAGAAGGTTAGATGAAACAGACAACACTGTCAGTTTTCCATCACATACAAGGGCAGTGGTGATCATATTTCAAAACACACTGAACATGCCGCCGAACGTCAGATTATTTTCGGATTGATTTCTGATCCTAACACTTACAGTACCACAGGCACGACAGTGATGTGCTCTCGTCGGTTTGACAAACTTGTCCCTGTAACAATATCGGTACTCGGGATTCAGTGCGGGGTGAGCGGGAGGTTTCCTGGTGAACATCATCGGCTGTTGATCAGACGATGGGTCAGAACCGTGTCCAACACCGTTCGGTTCAGCCTTGTGTGTCACCACGCCATTGCTCGATGAACCTTGAAAGTGGACTGGTGGTGCCGGTCTTATGGTGTCGATTACACCAATGTTTGGGTCTGGAAGGATGTTAAAACATTACAAGACACAAGAAACGAAAAGAGGGTAGTGATTGATTTTGTTGCTCACCAGGCTTTTCAGACACGTCAGTTACAGTACGATTCGTAGAGTTGTCGTCAGGTTGTGGTGGGTCTGGGATGTATTGTCCCGCACTGAGGTCATCTACTGAGGCAGCAAAAGGTGGTATGAAGTTGGTTACAACGGGTTCGGGAGAAGGATCCACATGCTTTGTATTGTTAAGTGAATCAGCCAACGTCTAGAGATCTATCATAGCTCACATCTTTGGCGTATCCTGGTCCAGTAAATATGACCTGAAGAATTACGAATGTTCAGTAACCTCGTGATTTCGGTAATTTCATATAAGAAAACCTTACCACGGCATAAGTCCATAGCATCATGACACCCAGGATGCAGAATACCACAAGGAACGGGACTACGCAGGGAAATTTAGTATGGTTATGTCATGGCAGACACCAGATGAAGTTACTCACTAGCGATGTTCTTTCCTCCCAAGACTCCCGCGTTATCTCTGAGCATTGGCACACAGAACCTCCCGATGTAGACATAAAACGCATAACCTATAATACCAAGCAGAAAGAGGATCGTCGCCTTGCGAGCAGCCCACGATTGAGGTTTACTCCTCCGCTCCTCGCGTTTCTTCATCGACTTGTCGGCCGCTTCCTGAAAGACTCCACAGCATTGATGCTCCGAAGACGACTTGTCATGCTGGGCCATTCCAAGTTCATTCAGCAGTAGTTTAGTGCAGGAAACTAGATGGCTAAGAGTGAGAAGAAACAAAGGGTGCGATCTCCAGCCCACTTCAGAGTCGGTGTGATCACTCAGATTGTCTCAGCCGTAGAGTCTGACGATGACAGCCCCCGAAATTCCCGTAAAGGCGGTGTGGGAGTTAGCGAAATTCGGTCGAGGGCCGAGTATTACTATGTCCGTAGATACCCGCAGATTGTGCTATTTCAATGGTAGTAACTTTGAGCGTAGAATGTGAACCTCCGAAAGTATGTTACAAGGACTAAGGTGAGAGGTCGGCGGCTGCGACCGCCTGCCACAGGGTAAAATTTGATGATGTACGATTAGGTAATCATGGACATACAAAGTACTACAAGTATGTCGCAAATTCATAGCTAAGCATACAATATAGGACGACTGTATAGTATAGTATCTTATGCCATATATATGATACGTACCTTTTAGCATTTTGAATACTTATACACAGGGTAGATATTCTACGGGATCTTGAATATTCTCAAAAGAGATAGAAATACGCTGTCGTGGCGTAATGGTAGCGCGTCGCCCTCCTAATCACCGCACTGTGCGATGTCTGGTTCAGGCGAAGGCTGTGGGTTCGAGTCCCACCGATAGTAGCGGATACCCTTTTTGGCAGGTCGCGTGTGGAACTCTGTGGCCGCCAACTTTGTAAATCTGACTGATCGCGTTCACTTTCACCTTTACAGTAACCACCACTACGATGTCGAAACCACTGAGCAACAGCTTGCTCAGCATGCGTTTTATGCAAAATGCCCAACGTGCAAAACAACAAGCCCAGGTAGAAGCAGAGCAGGCAAAGATCAAGGACGAGGCAGAGTGGTCAGTCCCTCAAGCATGGAGAGATGCATGGGGTATTGGGTCGAATTCAACACCTTCGTGCGTCATTCCTGACGAGGGAGTCATGTGTTTCTTGCTACTCACAGCGAACTACTACATCCTTTTCAATCCTGTTCAGGTCTAGTACCATCACACACGAGGCGTCCTACATACCCTTTCTGTTCTCATCTTCAGCAGATGACCTGAGTGAACCGTCGAGTTCAACTGGTTCAGGTAGTATGCCCAAACTGAAAGGTCGCCGTACCTTTAATGCCCGTGGACACGAAGTCATATCGGAAGCTGTAAGAATACAACCATTGCTCTCTTGATGTTCCTGTCTGACAGGAGCTCCATGCATGTGAACATCCTATAGATAAAATCAGCAATTGAGGTAGGGGAAATCGCAGATGTAGAGATGGAGGATGTCACAAAACCTACCCGAAGACCAATGACGATCTCCGGTTTTCCGAAACCATCCAAGAAAGAGGGGAAAGAACGAGAGACTGGTGCGGCGAAACGTAAACCGCAAGTGAAGACGATCTCTGGATTCCAAGCCCCTGCCATCACCAAGACCACCAAGGAAACCAAACGAACCAAGACTGCGCAGATGCTGATACGAGAAGACAATGGGAAGGGTTTACGTGCCCCTCCCCCTCTCCAGACATATGGAGACACTGATTCTAAGATGGACGTAGATCCGCCTACAGGTTTCTTAAAACCCGCCGGTGTAGATGCCCCTGCTGGACTCTCTAATTCCGCTTTGAAGCGCACTCGGGATACCGTAGATCCTGCCAGTCAGGAGGAAAAACGGCCCAAGAAAAAGAAAAAGAAAACCGCTCCTTCTTAATCGTCAGCCTTGCCTTGGGTGGACACGAGAAAGAAGGTTCAGCTCTTCTTGTTATTCCGCGGTGTCCATGAGGCGCATGTCACTTATTCAGTGGCAAAGCGTTTACCTGGATATCCGCGTTCGCTTGCTATTCAGGTGAGTCGAACAATTCTTGCGCAGATATATGAGTAAACCGATGATTGGTCCCTGAACGACAACTTACCTCATTCCTTAGATGCTCTGTCCGCGATGATACCCATAGTTTGCGGTCTTCTGACCGACCAGGCGTTCGGTTTCGTCCGCAAAGGGATCGTCCTCTTCCTATCTTTTCCCCAAGCGCTCCGTCTCCTGTACTACATTGTGCACGATGTACAATACCCATGGATAAAGTGTATACCACTTTTCAATTGCGACGTTCAATACACCGTAAATGGTTCCGCCAGGCAAATCAATAGAGAAACGGTCTCTTTCCTGTGAGGGATTGGATAACCGTCCTACGCGCGTGACCAAAGGTCCGAGAGCGTGATTGTCTCTCGAAGTTCGATTTCTACTACAAGCCTCGAGGGAACGGTATCTGGACGCGGGCTTCATTACATGCTATCAACTCTTAAACTCCCTGATATGATCTTAGGCTCTCGAAGAAGGTCAAGAATGAAAACCAGGTGTGAGCGTGAACGGATGGCATGACGCATCGCCGGGCGACGCACTCCCTTCTTTTTTAATGTGAACGCTACCATGAGCAACATGCTTCTTCTCGCCTCCCGGTCACATATTAAATTGTACGTAGAAACACGTACGAGAAGTCCTCATTGATCCAGTCATTTCTCCCATAGAAGAAGAAAATTCCTTCCTATCATAGACGCCGGAGTCGTCTTCTTATTCTTTCGGGCTAACGGAGTACGGGATCGGGTTGTGGGCTTCATCTCTTGCTCAGATATCTATCTTCTAATGGCACGCGTCCACGGCATTGACAGAACTTCTTATGAAAGCTGCGAAATTATGCGAATCCGATTGATTCTGTCCCAACGAATGAAAAACATACCACGATTTCCAGAGAGATCGACGTTTTTTTCCATCGAGAAGGTCTCGCTAATTTTTTTTTCTCAGCGTGACGTCAACCCCCAAAATGAAATCTTCCCATTAGCCGTCCATTACACGAGTGGGACGAGATTTATTTACCGACTAAGGGATAACGAACACCTGCGGGCAATCGGGACGTGCGGACGCGACGGAAAACGGACGAGAATAGTCGACGCTTCCTTACCTCACTCCGACCGAAGGGGAGGGGGGACGGGATCATCAGAAGCCGTGGTTAAATTACTTTCAGGACCTTCATTATTCCCATTACTAACATGTCGATCAAGCTGTTCGACTAGCCGGGGAGTTGACAAGCTGCTTTTGAATTCAACTCAGACTGTTTATATCGGCGCGAGGATCATATCATGGCGCGAGGCTCTGACATCGCGCTGGGAGACGTATCGAACGCTCCCGTTTTGAATATGGTAATCTGTTGACAGTATATAGGTATAGAAATACTATTGGAGCTTCCCCGAGAAGGTTTCGGGACATGAAGAAATTGACGAGAGGCGTGGTGTAATGTAAAGAGATAGCCATGTCGCTCCATGTCGCTCCATGTCGCTTTCCTGAAGCCTATGCGGGAGCATAATTGTCATACCTGCGTTTGAAGGCATTCATTTACTATGCTGATCACAATCAGGAACACGTTGACAAAGTGGGCAATCAATATTCAATATTCAATATTTATTGGTGAACGACCAGGCGCAGCACGGAGTGAACAATGATAATAGAACTGTGTTGGACGCGTAGGTACACGATGGAGCTTGAGGTAAACTTGAAATGTCTGGATGTAATGGGGATAGCACTATGATAAACAGCCATCATATATGCCTTACCGGGCTCCGAATCGCATCGGATAGAATGGAGTAATACCTAGGAGAGATGGAGTAATAACCTAGGAACTGAGCGACTTCTCATTAAATGTGAAGAAGCCGACGGTGAGACCAAATACGAGCACCACCGAACACGATCAAGGCTGCGTTATATTAACAAAAATGAAAAGACGGCCGCGCCCCATTTTACCTGGTTATGATGCATGAAAGGCAGCAGAGAGACACAAACCAGCAGGCCACCGCGCTACCACCCCCAAGTCCAAATGGATTAAACCGAATCATGCAAATGACGACCTTCGACGCCCTGTCCGAATCAGACCATCACTTGGAGGGCATGGATCAGAAGTTGTAGCAAGTACGACATGATGGGCTGCGTCAAACGCAACGACCCGTTTTCCGGGAAATTGAACTGTATCACTGGCCCCAGCATCCATCAAGCTCCAATCGTATTCTGTAGATAGAAGATGCAAGGAACGGGTTTGGGACACGAGGCAGGGCCAATTAAATGGATGCGATTGGGTCCTGAGGGAGTGAAATTGACCGGTGGTAGAGATGCTAAGAATACGCATTTCTATTGATGAGGTAGATGTAGATCGAGACGCTGATATCCCTATCTGATTCTGGAGATGTAGAACAGGGTACGTCGTGGTGTAGTAACTCGTCGATACTCCAGGGAATTAAATTGGCCAAGGGTTGGTCGTCCTTGAGAAATATATCAATCTTTGCTTCCAAAATGTTGAGAAAGTCTCCTATTTGAAAAAAAGTGAGAAGCCGCCGGCGTGCTATAGCTGACAACAGATGATGTCCTGAATCCTGATACAGGAACGGTATTCAGTACTCAGTACCTCAATCATAGGCACCCATACCACCCAAACGGGAACAGACTACCCCAACAAGTGAAACAGCAGCTCCGAACATTTTCAAATTGGAGGATATATGGGGACACTGATGATCGCACCTTTGCCAGGACCCATTGAAACCCGAACACCGAAGGAAGATAGGGAGCGATAGACGATCGAAGAAAGACGACCGCGATAATTCTTCAATATTCCAAGAACCTAACAATTCTTCAATATAAATATACGAGAACCTAAATATGGAAGGGGGAGTAGTGAGTTGATGAATCAGAACCCCCCCTAACAGACGCGGTTATTCACCGGAGCGTAGTAGGTGTATCGGAGTGGTATGAGGTCCTCCGGTCGGGACATGTACATGTACGATACATGATGTTTACATGGCAAGATATGAATGAGGTGACCGATATGAATTGTTAGAAAATAAGGAAGCCCATGCCGTAGCGGGGTAGGTGACTACACCTTCCAGGCAACGCCAAGGCTTAAGATGACAGTACACATTGAATCCTTGCGAACCCTGTCGTTTCGATGACTCACGTTAAGGGGTCCTAGTCTTTGTCACGCCCATGTCAGTGGAAAGAACACCGACCGGTGTTAAACGGTCCCAGACATAGATGCATAGATGCATAGATGACATTAGCTGGAATCAACCACATATCGACATCGGGTATAATGGGACCCACATCAAGACATAAGACGCTACCAGTCTCAGTCAGAAACACTCTCTGAAGCGCAGAGAGTGTGAGAGACGTCTGGAAACACTTTTCGAGTCTGATTCTGCAGTTCCCCATCTATCACAAGAATTCGAAGCCAGCCAGCAAGAGGGAGGGCCAGCGAAACGGACGACGGCGGCCGCAATCCTCCGGGTTCGTGCTTCTTCTCTCTTCCCAAAGATTCTAAAGATTCTGAAAGGAGTATAGAGATCATTAGGAATGGACCTGTGTATCTGCGAGCCCTAAGAGAGCAAGAAGGATGAGAAGTTGGACGGACGGACACTTTAGGAAGGCGGCTTTTTAGTTATGAAATGTCGAAGACGTGGTGTGGAAACCCAATCATTCCATAGGAGAAACGTGAGCTATGGAAGGTTGGATGACAGTAGTATACCAATAGAACACCGAGGCGTGGGTTCTTACCATGGCTCTCTCTCCGACGGAAACGGTTCTCTCCGTTTGTAACATGTATTAGTGCTT